GGTTCACCAGCAAAGAGAGCCCCTAACTGCCATGACCATCACAGCCCTCCTAGGCCTTAGTGCCGTGGACACGGGGACTAATGTTTCTTCATATGTTCTCTCCAAATCTAGGTATCAAGAACTCAGTACCACTATTGATAGAGATGTTCAGCATCTTCAACAAGGCATCAACGACCTTGTGAACTCCCTCTCTCCTTTGGCTGAAGTTGTCCTCCAGAATCATAGAGAAGTTGATTTACTCTTTTTACAACAGGGAGGACTATGTGCAGTTCTTAAAGAAGAATATTGCTTTTACATAGACAAGACAGGGATGGTTAAAGAGAGCATTAAAAAGGTCAGAGAAAGCCTTGATAAAAGACAGAGAGAAAGAGAGAGAGAGAGAGAGAGAGAGAGAGAGAGAGAGAGAGAGAGAGAGGAGATGAGAGCTGGTACAAGAATTGGTTTTCAACCTGTCCATGATTGTCAATCCTACTTCCTACAATTTTGGGACCATTAATTGGGTTACTGCTGCTTATTTGTTTTGCTCACTGGGACTTAAATAGGCTTACTAAATTTGTGAAACAACAGATAGATGATTTGATAGCACAACCTATTCAGATACATTATCATAAGTTAGCTATGGAGGACTACGAGACTCAAAATGAGGTTGTTACTTTATCCAGGGTGTTCCCAAAACCCATCTTCACTCAGCCTAAAAGAGGGGACTTCTGCCACTAGACCAAGCAGAGAGGGGCCACCCAGAACCTCTTCTGACTGGTGATCAAAATTCTTGCTTAGGCTGTGAGGCTAATCACTGCAAGGGAATATAAATAAAAGTTAAAAATATCTCTCTGATTTCCCTGAGGTACAAGCCTGAGTGCATAGCAGTTGATGTCAAAAGTATCCCCTTTCCAGGAAAAAGACACTGAGATGGGTATGGCTCTCACACCTCACTCAACAACGACAGGAGGACCGGAGCCATTACAAGGTCCCCTTTAATTACTGGAGGTCAGACCTCTATCCCCACCTTTGCAAAATTGGAATCGCCATGGTCCTTCTATACTTGGAGAAGGCAGGAGATGTCACAAGCAACCCTGCTTATACACTGAAGGCCTAGAATCAGCCACAGGCCTGACATAAATGCTTGCTAAACACAAAGCTTGGGTCTCTGTGAAAAAACACTGAAACAGACGTCTAGAAGCTATTGTAAACAAGCAGCTTTGGTGGAAAATTGCCAGGCTGAATAGTCATAGACCTTGTAGATAGGTAATCTTGGTGGATAGTACCAACTTAGATAAGGATAAGTGATTCATTGTCAGAGTCATAGTGATCTGTCTCCTGAACCTTCACTCAGCTGACACTCTGTTCCGGAAGATATCTGTACTCCCTCTGAAGACCTATACTCCTCTGTCATCCTCTTCCCCATATCCTGCCTTTTTGTGTATATAACCCATGTGAAAAAAGTAAAAATTACAGATTGATAAGCTATAGACAAGCCGTGTTTCTTTGCATCCGGTCATTTTCCCCCATTCTCTCTTAGGTGATCTGCCCGGACCCTGTTTAATGCCCTGCTGGATCAACACTCCACTGCCCAGGATATCTTAGTCCCGCGGCAGTCACATATCTGCCTTGCTGCTCTTTGGGAGGAAATTACAATTTAAGATTGAGAGAGTGCTAAAGTAAAGGAGAAGGACCCTCTGGGGAATGACTGGCCATGATATAGTGTATGCCTATGCAAAGATCTTGGATACAGGAATGTACCTCCTATGTTTGGCCCTGAGACACTAGACCCTCGGTGCTTCAGTTACCCTTGGGTGGGGGTCTGGCCAGTTCCTAGTGTGTCCTGGATCCCAGGCTGTTAGTGGGTTGTGAGGTGTCTATTTTGATTCTACATGAACTATTTGTTCCACACTTGCCATGACTTTTCCAAGGGCATTAACCACACAAGAGTGATGACAGAACTCTGGAAGACTGAATCTTAGAGTTTCAGGATATGATTGCATTTAGAATCTTCTGCAGCACACTGGACTGTGATACTTGCCTGTACTGCTTTTCTACTCTGAAACAGAAACTCTTGCCTCTCACCTACTTTAGTGCATTGCCTCTTTTTGCTTTCTACTCAGGTAGAATTGGATTCAAGTATATAGCTCCAGGAGATTTCATTGTCCTTATCATTTTTGACATGCTAGCTGTCATTCTTACTTACGTCATCCAAGTGACCATCTTCCTTTTAGTCTTCATTATATCCCTGACACTCATCATGAAGGCCATCATTCCCATTGAAACAACACCCTGGACATGGAGTTCAACTGGTATGTTAGCATCTTCATACTGATCACTTTTATTGGGCCCAGTTCTTCTGTGTGTTCTACAACAAGCTGCTTTCTGTTCCTCCAATGTAATTTTCATTATATTGAGTACATACTGTGGCATTAGTTTAGAAGCCAAAATTTATGAAGGCAGTGTGAGTGGCCAGGGTAGATGAGTTAGATATACATGGGCATTAAACTCCTGCCCTTCTGCATTAAGACTATCTTGTTAAAGATAATCTGTGATTTGTCTTCTCACATTACTAGTAACCTTAAAACTGCTATATTTTCTGAATATAAATTGGACACACTGTTCTGTGTTGTTTTTCATTTATGCTTGAGGATGCATAAATTAAATTTATGGGCAATTTAGAATTGAGCAGATCCATCTTCCTCTTGTTCTAGACTGAATAGCATAAGGATTTGTGAAGGAGTATTCCAAAGGAGTCACATGATGAGGCTCCACTATCTTGGCACAGAAGAAATGGTAATAATTGATTTCCAGGTCCCCTTAAAATGTGAGAACCTGTCCCCTGCTCAACATGGGTTTCTTGAACATGCAGCTTGCTGGAGAAAATCCCTTTTTAATAAACATCCAGGGTGGTTCCCAGATTTTTGCCTATGATGGGCTTCAGATACTTTTCTTTTTTGGTTTTATTTTATTAGTTATTTTATTTATTTACATTTCAAATGTTATCCCCCTTCCCAGTTAACCCCACTATCCCCTCCCCTATTCCCCACTTCTATGATTGTGCTTCCCACCCACCTCCCCTCCCACCTCAGTGTCCTAGCATTCCCCTATGCTGGGTCATGAAGATAAAGATTGTGAATAGAAACCTACCTCTCTTCATGTTTCTTTTGACTTGTTCTGACAATGAGGTGCTTCAGTGAGGACACACAAGGGACCAGCGGAGGGAAATTTCCTTTCTGCTGCAGCCTTTTAAGTGTAATGTCTGTTTAGAGTTATTCACTTTCATTTAGTCTGAGACAGAAACACAGTAAGATGATTGTACAGTCTAGGACCAAGGGGCTCTCCTCCCATTGATGCCAGATAAGGTAATCCTATGCTACATATGCAGCTGACACCATGGGTCCATCCATGGGTGAAAGGAGGGATGAAGAAGAGAAATGTCTACCAACCAAAGAGGACACTTCTCACTTTCTTCTCTCCATTCACCCATTGCTGTGGTTAAATGTCAGGTGAAGCTAAAGCAAGGCAGTCAGTTCTGGGGCTGGGAAGAGAAAACCTCATACTAGAAAGTCAGAAAAGTACTCTGCTTTCATATAAAATATCAGGTGACTTTTTCTATGTAGCATCTGCTAGGACACTATGAAAGACTCTAGTCCTTCTGTTACTGAAATGGTAAAGAAATAGCTGCTTAAAACCTACAGAACTTGGTTCCTTTCAAAAGCCTCCTTATGCTCCCCTTGGCTACCCTACATCTCTGCTCCTTCATCTGTCTCTCAGTTCTAACTGGAGACAGATTGTGGGTAATAGTAACACATGAATCAGGGACACTTGCCCATTTCCATAAAGCCATAGGATAGACAAGGAAGGGACACCTTGAATGTATACTCAAATAAACAACATTCTTGGTATCACTCAACTAGAGTGACAGGCCCTGGCAAAAAAGGAACTTGGTGCCAGAGAAAGATTGGGAATACAAACACACCCGTCTTTAAGTTTCTTTTGACTTGTTCCAAAATGAGGGGCTTCAGTGAGGATACCCATGGCACCAGCAGAGGGAGATTTCCTTTCTGCTGTAGCCCTTTAAATACAATGTCTGTTTAGAGTCATTCATTTCCATTTGGTCTGGGACAGAAACACAGTAAGGTAAGATTGTACAGTCCATATTGTACTTTTATATCTACTGTTCTCATAGGTAACAAGATCTTTGCCTGAGTGAAATTACAAAAGAATGTATTCATAGCCCTGATTTAGTTCCTCCAACTACCAGTGGGTCACTTCCTTGGAAAACACATGAGTTGAAAATTTTTCAGAGATCATCTGCAGTCAGAGCAGTTTGTATATGAAAGAACTGGGTTCTTGAGTTTTGATCAGAGTCCAAGAACTTAGGAATGGAGGGAGGGCTTCTTTTACTGAAATTTCTGGCCATGTCTCAAGCTAGGTTTATGCATTTGATACTTTAGAAGGCCCTATCTTTGAAGAAGCTACTGGGTCCTGTTTGGAGTTGGCCACTGCTACCCAGAATCTGGAGGACCAATGACTCTTGCTGACCGAATACTAGCCTAACACCATCAGAATTGTGTGTCAGATGAATCCATATATACTGTCTTTGAGGAATATATATAATTTATGTAATTATTATATATATATATTAATTATATTCATATTATACATATTTATATAATATACTATATAATCTAGTATTATATTAATATATAATTTTATATAATTATTATGTATTATATATTCCTCAAAGGCCATATATTGTACCAGGTTTTATATGCTGGCCACTACAGTTTGTATTATGTTCCTTGGTTCAGTGAAAGTTTTCCTTAGATATAATAATTAAAATAAGAGGAAATGTTCATTATTGGAAAATATTCTAAATAAAAATGCAGAAAATATTAAACTATTACTACTAATGAAACTTATAAATTAGTACCCACTTCTCTTTATTAGTGCATGATTCAAACATAACAGCAAAACAACACATTACACATAGTCTTTAATTAATCTAGCCTTGATATTCAAAGGCTGTGGCAATTACGAACAGCTCAATTTGTAAGTTCTACATGCAGCTAACTTGTTGGATCCATAATTTTCTCATGGCTTTCTTCATTTCCTGATTTCTCAGTGTGTAAATAATAGGATTCAGTAAAGGAGTGATAACAGTGTAAAATACAGCAAGAGTTGTATTGCTTGCAAAACTCCCAAATGGCCAGGCATAGATGAAGATACAGGGTCCAAAGAACAGAGTGACCACAATTATGTGGGCAGACAATGTGGACAGCGCCTTGGAAAGACTGTCAGGTGATTTGTGCTTTACAATGACAAGAATGACAGTGTATGAAACAAGCAAGAGGATGAAAGAGATAAAGGAGAGCAGCCCACTGTCAGCAATCACAAATAACTCTAGAGTGTATGTTTCAATACAAGCAAGCTTGATTACCAGGGGAAGATCACAAAATATATTATTTACAATATTGTATCCACAGAAAGGCAAATTCACTGTCAATGCCATCTGGCTCATGGTATGTATGAAACCAATTGTCCAGGAAAGTATAATAAACCTGATCAGCAACCTGTGACTCATGATTATCCTGTAGTGCAAGGGTTTGCATATGGCCACATATCTGTCGAAGGCCATGACTATCAAAAGGGTCATTTCAGCACCCCCAAAGAAATGCATGAAGAACATCTGGGCCATGCAGCCCTGAAAAGAGATGCTCTTGTGTGCTGCAAGCAAGTCTGTGATCATCTTGGGTGTCGTGACAGTAGAAAGACACATGTCCAGGAAGGAGAGGTTTCCAAGAAGAAAGTACATGGGAGAATGAAGGGCAGAATTAGCTGCCACTGTAATTATAATAAGGATGTTGCCCACCACAGTAGCAACATAGATCAAAGTAAATGTCACAAAGAAGAAAGTTTGAAGTTGCCAATCTCCAGAAAATCCCACTAAAATAAATTCTTTAACAGCAGATCCATTTTTATAATCCATTTATTCAACTCAGAACGGTTCTAGAAGTACTTTAAATACAGAAGTGAAAAACAAAAGCAAGCTATAGTTAGTATGTTTGTATTTCTAATATTTGTTGATAATGTTAACTCATGATTTGAAAGCATGCAGTGTTTAACATATCAATATATCAAACACATCATAGCTTGAAATGATTTTAAGTATCACATCACTTTAAACAATATTCTTAAGGTTATATAAAACAGAAAACATTTGAAAGGGTAATAATTCTATTTATATCCTTTTATCTTATCAGATAATATATTTCAGTAGATCCTTTTTTCCCATTAATCTCTTCATATAGAAATAAAAATAAAGATTACATGGCAATAACTTTTTTGCCTCTAATTTATTACAGTCTCCTGTTTCACATATTCCTTGCAGTTATGTTATTTAAATATTCAAGTAATATAGAATCATAACTGTAAATATATTGCTCTGTATTTATGAAGATATTATCAAAGATTATATAGTATTTTTAAAGCAGATACAAATTAGAATTTAATTTATACACAGAAGCAAATCTATGCAGTCATTAAATAGTTTTTCTTTTTAATTTTTTGTAATGTATTCTAAAAACGTCAAGAATCACAGACTCAGACTCAAATGATTTTGAGCCTGTGTCCTCAAATAATAAATTGCCAATTCAAAAGAAGGGCTATTGTGATAAATGTATGTTTACATTTGTTGGTTTAAGAGCAAATAACATGATGTCTCAATTTTTCTGTAAAGGTTTTGCTTGTGTTACCTAGGCTTCATTATGAATTATTTAATGTATGATAAATGTGTTTAGTGCTCATAGCAAACACATTATATAAGAGTATTATTGTTGGTATGTGCATATAAAAAGCTATAATGTAATATCTATTGACCATTTTAACAATTATCTAGCTAACAAGACTGAATAATGTATAACCAAATAATTGAACATTCTTTGAACTCATGTGTCTCATATGAATTTCTTAGAAGATATGATACAACAACAAAGAGATAACGTAAATACAATTAACTACAACTGTTTTTCCTATGTGACCAATGTCTGTTATACAGAGACCTCATAATCTAGAAATATATTGTTATAATGAAAATAAGCTATGTGAGAAAAGTTTTAACTTTGTGTAGGACTTATGCAAAACAGATTTAAGTCAATTCTATGTGAGACCTTCAAAAGTGAAATAAACTTTAAGGTGAATAAGCAAAAAATGATGTGCTATGGATATGTTAAAATACATGAAATGAAATGTGTTAAGTACATCTTTGTAATACAATCCAGTTGCTTGAAATCTACTGTTTCCGTCTGAGACACAATAGCGTGCTCTAGATCAAATACAATACGTTTTTAAATTTATTACAGACTTTTGCTGGTATATACACTTTTTGCATCTTGTTTATTTTGCTTTTCTTACTATGGAGAATACTCATGATAAAATTCTTAAGTTATTTATAGTTTATCTTTCGGTTTGAATGTAAAACATCTTATATCACTCCCCTTTACCCAGTGATCACCTTTCTTCATATACGGTCTAAGAATTATTTTTACAGAGGCTTTCTAAGTATCTAATTTAGATCATAAATTAACCTTCCAGTTCCTTCCAAACTGTGAATACACACATACATTTATACATTCTTTCAACTGCCTCAATACTGAAAAAAATAGTCACTATTCTGCAAAATGTTATAGGACACTAGAATTTCTTTTATTCTCAAAGGTAGTATGAGCTTTCTGAATGATCATATAACCTTTCTTGTATTTCTTATATTCATTGTAATTAGTCATCGACAATTTTTTTCTGCAGCATAATCTTGAGAGTATATTTTCTTTCAAATTTCCAAGAATTGTTAATTCTAGATTACTGTGAAGTGAAATTAGCTCTCAGTTGGAGGATATGATCCATCAAAGGCTCAAATCTTCCTTTGACTAACATATTTTGTTAAAATACCATCAATACCATCTTCACCATAATAAATTTAATGAATTTGCTTGCTATAATACTTTAACTTACCTTTCCTAACATACAGAATGAAGATCATAATATTTAAAGTAGTGTTTAAAATTGAAAATAGGCCTTTTATTTTCTTTAATGGCCTGTATGCCATTCTAAAGAGTATCTTTCACTTCCTTTAAAGATGTGGATCAATTACTAGAGAAAGTTTTTTTTAGAGTACTGGGAATCCAAACCTCAGTGGGAGTTGTTAAAAAATGAAACTATTGCCCACTTTGGCATAACCAAGAGAGATGCTTGCATTTTATTCTTGGTCATGTAATGAGGTGTGTTCCTGACTGGGTTGTACCATGATTATAACAGCCATGAAATTCTTGTTGTACTGGTGGTGATATCATAAGTCTAGAAAGATTTTATTGAAAGGAAATTATCTTTTCTCACATTAATTCAAATCATTCTTCTTAGTTTCAATTTTTGTGGCTATTTTAAATAGAATAATTCATGAACAATTTTGAGTATATCCTCAACACATCATTTATATACAAATTAACTTGTAGAACATACAGGAAGTAGAGTATTTGAAAAAATTATAATACTCATTTCTAAGTTATAGTACAAAGCTATACTAATGGAAATAGTATGGTACTGCCACAAAAACAGACACATAGATCAGTGGAAAATAATAGAAGATGCAGGCTAGAGTTCATGGATTTAAAGCCATTTTTTAATGAAGAGGCTCCCAAAATACCAAACAACGGAGGAAAAACACTATGTTTAACAAATTGTGTTAGGAAAACTAGATGTGTCCATGTATAAGAGTAAAATTATGCTCTTATCCCTTACTCTATACATGCCATCCCAAAATAAATCAATAACCTCAATAAAAGACCATACACTTTAAAACTGGTGGAAGAAAAGTTAGTTATTACATGCTGACATATTGGTAGAGGTAAGGACATTCTGTATTCTCAGATAGAACACTCTGGGGGAGGTTCAGGAGATACAGACTTGCTGAAGAAAGTACATTACTGGGCTTTGAAGTAATAAAGCCTTGTGCTCCACCCAATTCACACTGCTTCATACTTATCTTGGAAAATGTAATCTCTTGGATTCTTACCCGGACATAATGTCTTCTACTTTGTATCATGCCTTCCCTTGATGATGGACTTTTATCCTTCTAAAATCCGTATCCCAAATTAACTTTTCTATAAGTTTCCTCGGTCAGATTATATTATCACAGCAACAGAAAATGACCTAATATAATGTGGTTCCACAGGCAGAGAAAAAATGAACCCTGATTTCTAATCAAATCTCACCATTTATTCATAATTATCAAAAGCTGTCTATTCCTCTCATTTTTATTGTTTTTTGTGGTATATTCTCAGGTATTTTATTTTACTATTCTGGCATGATTTATTTGTTTTCTGTGATATCTTGACTGTTTCTATCATTGTCTACATATTTATGTATTCAGTCTAATATTCTCTGGAGATCCTGTTTAGTAGCTGTGTATTCCATTTATCTGTTTTTACTTTGGAAACATTCATTTCTTCTTAATATTATTAAATAGTTTTGCTGGATAGTAGCTGGTTTGACAGTGTCTTCATGACTTAGACATCTTTGAAAGCCCTTATGGTTTTAAATGTTTCTGTGAAATAACCCTATGTTTTTAACGGCCGTTTCTTTTGTAACAGCTGGTTCTGCTACTTTGTAAAGGCCTGCCGGTTCTGCTGCACCGGTCCACAGGTCAGGGTCTAGCAAGAGAGAGAGTGGGGACGGAGGTAGGGCGGAAAAGGGGCGAGAGACGCAAAAGATAGATACAAGACAGAGTCCGGTGGAGTCTCTTCAAGTCTCTTCTTTATTCTCCTCTCTTCTTCAGTCTCCTGACACCTCCCACCTTCCACCTTCTTACTTTTTCCATACATAGAAAGGAAATCCTGGGTATTTATACCCTTTACCAAGTGACTTGCCCTCCTGAACTGAAGCCACTATGTCATGTGCCTTGTAGCCATGGATACCAGGAGCACCTTGCAGCTGGGGGCACTAAACAGTGTAACAAGATGTTTATCAGAGTGTGCTCAGCTATTGCAGGCTGTTGAAAACAAGTCTCTTGTCAGGGTATATGGCTCGAGATGGCTGTAAAGATGATAGCCGCTTTCGGCTAAGAATCGGCTCCCAACATATGTTATTCTTTTTAAAAATAAATATAGCTTTTTTATTAAATTTATTTCTTTATTCTCTTTACAGCCCAATATCAGCCCTTCCTCTTCTCCCAGTATCTGCTGATGTAAGTCCTTCCCTCCAATCCTCTCAGAAGGGGAAGCTCCCCTCTGGGTGTCAACCCATCCATCCCCTATTTAACCCACACACCCACCTCCCACACTCTCCCCACACCCCTCCTCACATCTGAAGTTGCTGTAGGTCTAAGCACATCCTTATATTTTAATTTTTTTAATTTAGATATAATTTCATTATTTCTCCATTGCCATTTTATCTACACTCCACATCTCTCACTACATTACAAAATCATGACTTATTTTTTAAAAAAATATTAAACATGTATATAATTGCACAGATATGTGGATACAACCTGCTTAGTACATTTTATTTATTTATTTATTTATTTATTTATTTTGGTTTTTTGAGACAGAGATTCTCTGTGTAGCCCTGGCTGTCCTGGAACTCACTCTGTAGACCAGGCTGGCCTTGAACTCAGAAATCCACCTGCCTCTGCCTCCCAAATGCTGGGATTAAAGGTGTGCACCACCACTGCCCAGCAATACATTTAGTGTGGTGTGTATTTGTGATTTCTGAGACAACTACCTGACATTTTATAAACAATTATTGACAGTGAGTCTGTTATTATTAACTAATTTGGCCTGTCTCTCTGGATGTTTTCAATGCCCTATATTCTGTTAATTATAGTATTTTAACTAGATTATATCTTGGAGAACTTCTTTGTTGATCTAGTCTGTTTTGTATTTGGTTGATCTCTTATATCTAGATGGGCTTGTCTTACTCCAGATTTGGAAAATTTCTTATATTGTTTTATTGAAGAT